ACAGAGAGAGAGAGAGAGAGAGAGAGAGAGAGAGAGAGAGAGAGAGAGAGGGGGGAGGGGGAGAGAGAGAGAGTCGGAAGCTGCTATCATGCAGGCCTGAGCCTGCGGCTGAGCACAGCCGTCTCTGAACTTCCCCAGGCGCCGTATGCGCCTGCTGCATGCCCCCCACGCACACTTGAGCCTGCGCCGCTGCTCATACCGGGGACCTGAACTCCTCTGTCAGGCAACAAGGCCATCGTTATGAAGGGCGTGAACTTCACACTGCCCAACGGCCGCCAGCTCATCTCGGACTTCACGTTCGAGTTCCTGCCCGGGGAGCGGCTCGGCATCGCGGGCGCGAACGGCGTCGGAAAAAGCACGCTGCTCGACCTGATCACAGGTGCGGGCTTGGGGCCCCTCGGGCGACGTCAGTCGCGACCGTCGCCGCGGCTGCATAGTTGAACCCGCAGTTGGAGCTTGACCGGGCAGCCGTGGGCCGGGGCCGCGGCGCGCCGGGCGCAAAGAGCGGCGGAGCGCCGGCCTGCTCAGGGTCGTAACCGCAGCTGCACGCATGCAGGCTTCAAAACGGCGCGCACGGCACAAGAGCATGCTGCTCGACCATTAAACCTGCACGCCTCGACTGGGCATTCCACATACATAACACCTCGTATCATATTTTACACCCCCAGGCAAGCTGCAGCCGGACAGCGGCGCGCGCGAAATGGGGGAGACCGCGGTGATTGGCTACTTCCAGCAGGTCCCGCCCCCCGTGGACCCCTCCCTCCGCCTCGTGGATTATGTGAGCCGGGGCACGCCCGCAAAACGGGCGCAGCACACACAGCACGCGCAGCACGCGCAGCACGCGCAGCACGCGCAGCACGCGCCCCTGGTGTGTTGGCGAACGGCACTTGCGAACATCCACGCGTGGATGTTGTTCGGCGGCGCTGCATTGCGAACCCATGAGCAGCTGCGGGTTTCGGGCCTGCAGCCGGCCGCTCCCGACGTCTCCGCTTCGACCCGTCCAGACCCATCAACCATGAACACACAGACCCCACGTCCCCCACTCACGGCCCTCACAC